CGCCGCTCTGCCTCAAGATGGGGATCATCCCGGTGCTGGACGACCTGGTCCACCGGTTTCCCTGGGCGGACACCTGCTTATTCTTCGACGACCTCGCCATGACCACGCACGGCCTCAGGGAGTTCGTCCAGCACTTTCACCCCAAGCTCATCGCGGCGGTGATCTACATGTTCGAAGTGAGGCTGGAAATGGCAGTCTCGCGCGGCGCGGAGGGCAAGACGGTCACCATGACCTCCAACGCCGCGCTGGGCGACATCGTCAACACAAGCTCCAGACGCCTGGAGGCACGCGTCGTCATGCACGAGAAGCACCTCGGCGTGACCTCGGCGGCTGGCAGGCGACGCCGAGTTGGAACCATCAATAAGCGCGCACTGAAGTTGGCGGCGAGGCAGTCGCGGATTGCAGCAGCGCGAAGGGCAGGGGGAGCAACGCAGAAGCTGGTGCGCCATGCCAAGGTGCCAGCGCTGCTCTACGGCTCGGCGACGGTGGGCATGGCGGACTCCAAGCTGCAGGAGCTGCGGACGAGCGTGGCCACCGCCATGCTAGACTGCACCAAGGGCAGGTCCACCAACCTCACGCTGCTGAGCGACGACGTGGAACCAGGATGCCTCGTGAACTGCGGGCCCTTCATCGCCTGGGCGACCGCGCGGCAGGAGGCCAACTCAAACGAGCAGGTAATGGAGCGGCTGCAGAGCGCATGGAGGACGTGGGTCATGAAGGTGGCTACGAGCAAGGTGCCCTGGCAGATTGTGCGTGGCCGTGCTGGAGCCTTCGTGGCCACGGTGAGGCGGCTCGGCTGGATGACGCAGGCCGCCCACAGCATCACGGTCGACGGGCAGGTGTACGACCTGCGCTACACGTTGCTGCAGGAGCTGTACCACCTCGTGCGCACGGCGACGGAGAAGCAGCTGAAGGACGGGTGGGTGCAGCAGTGCGGCCAGATCCACGGCATCGGCTCCATCTTCATCGAACCCGTGAGGGCGCTGCTACGGAGGCCACTACGCGGACGCTGGACACAAGCTCACCGCACACGAGTACGAGTCCTTTTCTGCGGCGGATCATGGCCACAGGCGCGCCCCCACGCGAAAGGGGCGGCGCCAGATGACATTTGCAGACGGCAGGTACAGATCGCCACCGTACTTTTGTCCAGCTCGACATGCACATCGAGAGCGAGTTGGAGGCCGACACATCGTTCAGCTTGGAGTAAACCCTTGGCCTGCACCAGGGGCCGAGGCATTGTGGGGGCGCGGCATCACCAGCGACCCTGCGGAGGAGCTAAACTTGTGGAACCTCGAGTCATGCGACGCGTGGCTCACCGAGGGCGAGTGACACGGCTTAGCGACGGGTGACATCTACACCGACGGCTCGTTGCAGTTCGGCGACTTCGCACCGCTGCGGCGCGCAGGCTGGGGATTCATCCGCATCGATGACGATCTCGAGCTGGAGTACGTTTGCTTCGGGCCCTTGCCAGGGCCGCAGTGGACGCAGAGTATTCTACGAGCTAAATTGTACGCAGTGCTGCAGGCGATCAAAGTTGCCGCGCCGCCGCTGCGTATCTTCACGGACTGCCAGAACGTACTGGACGGCCTAGCCAAGGGGCCGCAGGCGCTGGATCGAAGGAGCCGCAAGCACCAAGACTTGCGGGGCAAGACCTGGGCCGCTGTCGACGACATCGGCGGCATCGGCCCGAGGACGGCTTCTTCCTGCAAGGTGAGGGCCCACGCCACGAGGGCTGAGCGGCAGCGCATAGGCCTCTCGAGGTGGGAAGGACATCGTCTCGCTGATAAATTCGCGAATCAAGGAGCCATGTACCATATACGACGAAGCCGGGATCGGGGCAAAATTTGACCGGGATAAAAATCATGCTCGGTTTTTCAAATCACCGGGGGCGCCGCCGAACGGGCCTGCCACGCTTTGGGCGCCATCGGCTTCGCGAAGGAAGAAATCCGTCTCGGCGCGGATGAAGCCACGGCGCGCATGTGGTAACGCGCACGCCCGGGGGAATTCAGCGCCAAGCGCCTTTCACTCCAGAAGGCCCGACGTCAACAAAACAAACTTGAGGCCCCAAGGGGGTCCCAAGGAGGCGGACCGCCAAAACAATCACGCAACCAACGCAACGAAAAAAAAACACGAAAATGTCAAAAAGCGCGTTGCTCAGTGACCTCTTCGGCCACGCAACACCGCGATAATGCCCAAGAAGGCATTGGCAAAAAAAGTCCCGCGCGCGGCCAGGCGACTTCCCCGCGCCGCCCCAAGGTTCCCGAAGCGCGCCGAAATAACCGTGGAGAACACCCCGGAAATTCTTTGGAAAGTCCCCGCGCCATGCAAGATCCGCCACCGAACAATCTCGCGGACACCTAGCGCGTACGCGCGGGCGTCCACCATGGATGCCCAACTCCGGTTTCCGAGACAATCGCGCGCAACCGCCTGGGGGCCTCGGCAACCTCGCGATTGGCCCAGGGGCCCGCGGGCCCCAGGGAATCGAAGACCGAGTTCGCAACTCCGGAAGCATCGGGCGCGGCGCCAGCCAGTCGCTCGTCTCTGGCTGACAATAGGACGCCTGGAGACACGGTAAAACCTAAGGAACCGCTTTTCAGAGATTCACAGAACCAGAAACCGGGGCGCGCCAAATTCTCGCGTCCGAACTTCTCTGAGAATCTCTGAAGATCTCTGAACTAGCCACCCCGCGTGAAACATTCCCATAAACCCAAAACCTCGGAGCTGGCCGAAACTCTCTGAGAGTTTTTCGGCCCGCGAAATTTGGCGCGCCCGGATTTCTGGTTCCGAGATTCTCTGAAATCGCGCTGCGGCGGCGCCCAGCAGGTCCTCGCGCGCCCAGGGTGGGGGCCGTGGACATCGCGGGCCGCGATGGTCCCGGCCGCGAGGTCCTTCCTCTTGCCCCTCGACGAGTCCACGCTCATGGACACGCTCTCTGCGCTGAGCGTGGACCGCGCCATCCGCCGGTACTTCTGCGCGACGACAGCCAACTGGCCGCCGACGGACAAGGCGATTTTTCTCCGAGCTGCGCGTGCCACCGAAAACGTACAATAGCCCGGGCTCGGGGAGAAACACTTTCGAAGCATTTTCAGGCCGCCAGCGTCGTGGCTGCCGACCCGCCGCGCGCCGACCGAGAGACTAGCTGGGTCCACTACGTCCACGGCGGCGGGCGGGCGCCCAAGAGAGCTGTCGCCACGGTGCGCGCGGCAGGGCGCCCGCCCAACTGCAACCGCAAATGCGGCCCCCATGGCGCCACAGGCGTAATATGTGTGACGCATTTTCGGGCCCCCCATCAGCGCATTGACCAGCGGCCAAGTCCCTGAAACGCAAACCTACTGTGCCCCCCGTGCAAGCCGCGCACCCGCGCACAATGCTCGTGCACACCAGATTTTCTGCCCGCCCTCAACAGTTTAATTGAGCGCCCATGTGTTACTTGGGCTCATCAAGCCCTCGGACATTATTTGGGAACTTCTGCGACTGCGCGCGCTACGCTCCACAAATCGGCGTTCTATTTTTCTCTGGAACTCTCCCAGAATCTCTGGTTCCGATTTGCCCCGATCTTCCGCTCAACTGACCATACCCATCCGTCGTGGTGTAGAGATGCGTACATAACTAAATACAAACTCGTCAATGACGTTCTCGAATTCGGGACCCATGTAGGAGTGCTCAGTAGAGATACTGTCGACACTGAACCGGGCTCGAGTCTGGACTCGAATCCCCCCCGCCCCCGACGTCCTGGACCTCCTTGGGTCTCCTGGGACGCCTGGAGGCGTGGAGGAGGGGGCCCTGGTGCCCCATCGGGGGGCAACCTCGGGGAGCATCGTCACCCAAGATTGCCTCCCACCGCCCTCGACGGCCCCCCCCCTCTCGGGCCGCTCTGGACTGGGGGGAAGTCAGGGTCGATAAAGAGAGGAGTGTTGGGCATCAGTTGGTGTTCCAGCCAAGTTTTGTGTTTTGTCGTAGGTGTGCCAGGTACGCCCGCGACAGGTGGACGGGCCCGCTCTCCCAATGTCAAAGGGTAACCGGGGGTAGGTTAAAGCGTTTGTGGGACGGTAAACACCCCACCACGAACAAGCCCATTTGAAGGTGCCCGAAGCGGCCAGGAACCCCGCGGTAGTAAATCCATGGGGCTTTGCTCACCGTTAGACCAGACCTAATCCAGCTCTAATTCTCCTGCTCCTCCTCCTCCTCCTCCTCCTCCTCCTCCTCCTCCTCCTCCTCCTCCCCTTCCTTCGAAGCAGGGCGAGTTGAGACAACGGCAGCTCTGGACTCGTCCGACCCGCCCGATGGGCCAGCGGCGCGTGATCGCCCGACGTGCGGGGGAGGCAGGAATTGCGTTCTAGCGCGATTCAGGATCGTCTAGACGCAATAATAACGGTAATTCGCGGCTTTACAAATCTAGATTCTCAGACGGTATTCTTCCAACGGGGCATTTCCCTCAGTAAAACATGGATCCGTGTAGGAGCCTATGAAGAGGGAACTTGGAGAAAGGGTGAGTTGCTACCACTCCTCCTCCTCCTCCTCGTCGTCCTCCTCCTCCTCCTCCTTCCCTCCCTCCTCCCTCCCTTCCTCCCTCCCTCCTCCCCTCCTCCTCTCCTCCTCCCTCCTTCATCCTTCCTCCTTCCTCCTGCTTCCTGCTTCCTCCTGACTCCTTCCTCCTACCTCTTTCCTCCTTCCTCCTCCTCCCTCCTTCCTCCTCCTCCTCTTTCCTCCTCCTCCTCGTCTTTCCTCCTACCTCCTTCCTCTTTCCTCCTGCCTCCTTCCTCCTTCCACGCTCCCCTTCCTCCTTCCTCCTTCCACCCTCCCCCTCTTCCTCCTCCTCCTCCTCCTCCTCCTCCTCCTCCTCCTCCTCGTATTCCTCCTCATCATCCTCCTCCTCCCCTTCCTTCGAAGCAAGGCGAGTTGAGACAACGGCAGCTCTGGGCTCGTCCGACCTGCCGGAGGGGCCAGCGGCGCGTGATCGCCCGGCGCGCGGGGGAGGCGGGCGGAGGGGCGGGGGGCGCCGGCAGGGGCGGCGGCGCGGGGCAGAGCAGCTGGAGGGCGTGCTGCTCCACCTGGCTCCCAGGGGGGAGGAGACCAGGAGGACCAGGGAGGAGGGAGAAAGAGGATTGAAGAGAAGCGAGGAGAGTTGAGGAGGATCGAGGAGTATCGGGAAGGAGAAGGATTGAGAAGGATCGAGGAGGATCGGGGAGAAGGAGGATCGAGGATCGAAAAGGAAGAGGAGACGACGTCTGGAAGGTCCGCAATCGAAGGGGAGATAAGGACTGCATGCTCAACGAAGAAAAAGAGGAGCATGAAACCTGCGACATGTATCATCGCCTTCGCCGATCCCCACGTGAAAAAGTTCTTCTCCGAGAAAAGGTTACTTCTCCGGGAAAAGGGTTACTTCTCCGGGTGAAATGAGGCACATGCCGGGTCGGTTACTTCTCCGGGTGAGACCGTCATAGGTTTTCCCGCCTTCCCCAAACACCACAAACCAAACACCAAACATCAACCCCAAAACACGAAACACCAACCCCAAAACACCAAACACCAAACACCAAACACCAAACACCAACAGCAAACAGCAAACGGCAAACACCAAACACCAACCCCCAACCCCCAACCCCCAAACCCCAAACACCAAACACCAACCACCAACCACCAACCACCAAACACCAAACACCAAACACCAAACATCACACACCACGCACCACACACCACACACCAGACACCAGACGCCGAACACCACACATCAAACACGAAACGCCAAACACGGGGCCCTGGGGCCCTCCGCGGGCCCCTGAGAGTTCTGCTCGGTTGAGCGCTGCTCCGTTTAGTTCAGTTCGTATGGTCTCCGCGGCAAATTGTTCCTGGTTACAGAAAACGCAACTCGCGATGTCTAGTTGGCTGCGCGGGAAGGCAGCAGGGCCCAGGGTTTACTTCCCTCCAGGACCCCTTCACCTTCGTGCTGAAATCGGCCGACATTGTCCGCCGAGCTGCGCCAGGCTTTTTAAGGACGCGCTCTGCTGTCGAAGAAAAAGGATGAGGGGTGCCTCCCCCTCCTCCTCCTCCTCCCCCTCCTCCTCCTCCTTTTCCTCTTCGCACGTTGCCTCCCCCTTCTCCTCCTTCCCCTTCGTGCGTCACCTCCTCCTCCTTCCCCCTCCTGCGTCAGCAGAAAGAGGAGGACAAGGGGAAGCAAAAGAAGGAGGAGGAGGAGGACTACCACCACCACCACCACCACCACCACCACCATCACCATCACTACTACTACTACTACTACGACGACGACGACGACGACGACGACGACGACGACGACGACGACGACGACTACTACTACTACTACTACTACCACGACTACTACCACGACTGCTACTAATACCACTCCTACTACTACTACTACTACTACTACTACTACTACTACTACTACTACTACTACTACTACGACTGCTACTACTACGACTACTACTACTACTACTATTACTACTACTACTACTACCACTACTACTACTACTACTACTACCACCAACACTACTACCACTACTACTACTACTACGACGACGACGACGACTACGACTACGGCTACTACTACTGCTGCAACAACTACTACTACCACTACTACAACTACTACTACGGCTACGACTACTACCACTACGACTACGACTGCGACTACCACTACTACTACTACTACTACTACTACTACTACTACTACTACTACTACTACTACTACTACTACTACTACTACTACTACTACTACTACGACTACTACTACTACTACTACTACTACTACTACTACTACTACTACTACTACTACTACTACTACTACTACTACTACTACTACTACTACTACTACTACTACTACTACTACTACTACTACCACTACTACTACTACTACTACTACTACTACTACTACTACTACTACTACTACTAACTACTAACTACTAACTACGACGACTACTACTACTACTACTAACTACTACTACTACTACTACTACTACTACTCTACTAACTACTACTACAACTACTACTACTACTACTACTACTACACTACTACTACTTTACCACCACTACTACTACTACTACTACTACTACTATTACTACTACTACACTACTACTACTACTACTACTACTACTACTACTACTACCACTACTACTACTAGTGAAACTACTGCTGCTGCTGCTACTACCACTCCGAATACTACGACTGCTACTACTACCGCTGATGATACTACTATTATTATTACTACTGCTGCTGCTACTACCCCTGGAACTATTAGACCTACTGGAACAATGACACCAACAACAACTACAACTACTACTACTACCACTTCTACTACCCCTACGGAAACTACCACCACCACTACTACTACTACTACTACTACTACTACTACTACTACTACGACTGCGACTACGGCTACGACTACGACTACGACTACGACTACTACTACTACTACTACTACTACTACTACTACTACTACTGCGACCACTACTACCACGAATACCACTACCACTACCACTACTACTACTACTACTACTACTACCACCACCACTACTACTACTACTACTACGACGACGACGACTACTACGGCGGCCACTACTACCACTACTACTACCACTACGACTGCTACTACTATGACGGCTGCAACTACAACTGCAGTGGCTACTACTGCTGTTCCTACTACTACTACTACTACTACTACTAAAATTCCTTCTACTACTGCTACTACTACTACTACTACTACTACTACTACTACTACCACCACCGCTACCACTACCACTATACAAATACCACTACGAATACTAGTACTACTACTACTACTACTACTACTACTACTACTATTACTACTACTACCCCTACTACGACTAGTACAACAACAACAACTACTACTACTACTACTACCACAATCACGACTACTACGACAATTACTACTACTACTACTACTACTACTACTACTACTACTACTACTACTACTACTACTACTATTACTACCCCTACTACGACTAGTACAACAACAACTACTACTACTACTACTACTACTACTACGACTACTACTACTACTACTGCTACTAATACTACTACTGCTGCTACCGCGACTGCTACTACACACGACAAATACTTCTAGCACGACTACTGCCATTAGTACTGGTATCAATTTGATTACTACTACTGACATTAATGAGAATAAGACTTCTCCTCCTGCTATCATTGATACCGCTGCTACTACTACTACTACTACTACTACTGCTGTTACTACTACTACTACTACTACTACTACTACTACTACTACTACTACTACTACTACTACTACTACTACTACGACTACTACTACTACTACTACTACTACTACTACTACTACTACTACCAGCTACTACGAACCAACTACGAACTACGATAAGCAACGACCCGCAACAAACAACAAATTACGCTACCGAGGAACCCCACATACTTATATGATGGCTGGAGAGATTACAGCTGAAGTGAAGCATGTGAGAATGATGTTGGTGGCCGTTGCCCCGCCGATACCGCTGTGCCCTGGACGACCGTCATGGATAGCGGCCGCGGTGAGAGACCACCCCCTGCGCACCCCCTTATGGTGTCGAGAATATGTCATGCCTGCTGTGCCCTGGACGACCGTCACGGATAGCGGCCGCGGTAAGAGACCACCCCCTGCGCACCCCCTTATGGTGTCGAGAATATGCCATGCCTGCTGTGCCCTGGACGACCGTCACGGATAGCGGCCGCGGTGAGAGACCACCCCTTGCGCACCCCCTACGCTGTCGAGAATATGCCATGCCTGCTGTGCCCTGGACGACTGTCACGGATAGCGGCCGCGGTGAGAGACCACCCCCTGAGCACCCCCTTATGGTGTCGAGAATATGCCATGCCTGCTGTGCCCTGGACGACCGTCACGGATAGCGGCCGCGGTGAGAGACCACCCCCTGCGCACCCCCTATGGTGTCGAGAATATGCCATGCCTGCTGTGCCCTGGACGACCGTCACGGATAGCGGCCGCGGTGAGAGACCACCCCCTGCGCACCCCCTATGGTGTCGAGAATATGCCATGCCTGCTGTGCCCTGGACGACCGTCACGGATAGCGGCCGCGGTGAGAGACCACCCCCTGCGCACCCCCTATGGTGTCGAGAAAGTGCCACGTCTGCCACGCCCTGCGACCCTGGGGCGGATAGAGACCGCGGTGAGGGACCACTCCCTGCACACGTCCTGTAGGGACGAGAAAGTGCCACACACGGATGGTGTTGTGTAGTGTGGTGTGGTGTGGTGTGGTGTGGTGTGGTGTGGTGTGGTGCGGTGTGGTGTGGTGTGGTGGTGTGTGGTGTGGCGTGGTGTGGTGTGGTGCGATGTGGCGTGGTGTGGTGTGGTGTGTGTACGAGCGAGAAGGAGGAGGTGAGGTGGGAACGCAGGTGTGACGCGGGTGTAGAGAAGGGGAGGTGAGTGAACGCGGGTGCGACGCGGGTGTAGAGAAAATCAGACTCCCACTTATAATGCGGGGAACTATTCGCCACTACCTACAAAATACCAGCTACCAGCCACGAGCTACTAACTACTTACTACGAAATGTCATTACTACGACTTCCAATTCGACTACTACTACTGCTACTAGTCCTACTACTACGACGACTACTACTACTTCTTCTTCGTTTTCTTCTTCTTATTATTATTCGTCTTCTTCTTATTCTTCTTCTTATTATTCTTCTTATTATTCTTCTTGTTCTTCTTCTTCTTCTTATTATTATTCTTCTTCTTCTTCGTCTTCTTATTCTTATTATTCTTCTTATTATTATTATTCTTCTTCTTCTTCGTATTCGTCTTCTTATTCTTTTTCTTCTTATTATTCTTATTCTTATTCATATTCTTATTATTCTTCTTCTTCTTCTGCTTCTTCTTCTGCTTATTCTTATTCTTCTTCTTATTCTTCTTCTACTACTACTACTACTGCTACTACTACTACTACTACTACTGCTACTACTACTACTACTACTACTGCCACTACTACCACTACTACTACTACTACTACTACTACTACTACTACTACTATTACTACTACTACTCCTACT